GGGCCTAAGCCGCACGCAAACGTCTTAGGTAAGCTCGCTAAAAGGTCTCAGGCCCGGAAGGAAACACTGCTTATCCAAGAGACGCCATCGCGATCACGGGAAAACCAAGACTTTCCGGTGGCGGATCTGTCTATGAAGCATTCCTTCCTGCAGTTATCATGGATACTTGGGCTGATGATCTGTGGATCGCTAATGCGAACAAAATACCATTGGATGACCTGGGCGAATACGCTCGCGAACTGTTCTCTCGCAGGAAACAACGACACCACTTCAATTCGTACATTGGAGAACTCATGCTCCACAGGGCAGGTGGCTATCTCAAGAACATTGATTGGTGTATCCGCTGGGACCATGACTGGAACTCGGATGCACACCCAGGCCGTGTCTTGCAGGCTGCCCGCAGTTCAGCATTCCCACCATGTGAGAAAACATTATACTGTTGGGTTCGGCTACATTATCCAGCATGGCTCAGACACTTCTGGCCTGCACCGGGTGAACATGCCTCGTATATTGACCTTGACACCATGGATTAACCAATGCTCGAGGGTGACCCAGCGACAAGACCTGCACGCCATGGCCGACACAGAACTTCCTGTTCAAGTGGAAGCAGGTGGGCGTGCTCACATGCCTCCCCCCTCCGGTCTACACATACCTTCTAGACCCTGCATTGGCAAAACAGGCAGAAGATGGCGAATTAAGCAACCATCGAACTACTCAGTCAGGTGGGGGAGACGTCATCGTACTAGACCGCATTTACCTGGAGCCAGGCCATTGCTCTGGATGACGATGATGATCTTCCCGTGCCCTTTGCATTGGCTGATGCATAGTCAGAGCACGTTTCATGACAGACTGATTGCAGCTTCTTTGCAATTTCTCATTCAAACCATACATGCCTGGGCTCAGTGGACGATGTCAAGTAGCGAGACTCCATCGATTTTCATGTCTGACTCGTCAGTTGAAGAGCGGCCACCGCCCGACAGACCAGCTGGACCACCACCTCCGATTCCTGTCCAAGCTCAACAAGACCTCGCTCACCAGGTGAGCAGTGCGGTGGCGGATACCATCGGCTTCCAAGGCAGCATTTTATGTTATCTGCCATGGGATTTGAGACACTTGAAGTGTCTCGTCCTGAGCGTCAGAGCCATGAGACCGCATGAGCGGAGTCATCCCAATGTGCTCGAGATCCAAGACGCACCGTCAGCCGAAGAGGCAGAGCATGCAGAAGGAGAAGAAGAAGAGGGCCACCATGCAGACAACCACGAGCACGTCACAGAGGCAAGCATGGAGGCAGGCATGGAACCCACCAACGGGATCGAGGCAAGCTCTGCAGGTCACAGGGAGACCGAAGGTGACCCCGAAAGTCTTGTGAACAGAACTATTCGCCGGATGGAAGCCGAAGGCCGTAGTGTAATGACTCCTGCGGAGATTGCTGCCATCCAGGCAGACTTTGATGCCGCTTCCGAGGATGAGAACACGGTCACATTCGACCACCTCTTTGGTGGGAAGTCCCATGCTGATGGGGGCACCGGCGGAGGAGAAGATGATACAGGTGAAGCCCACCATGCCACGGACACCAGGGCCACGTCCTCCGGAAGCGCACCACAGGCAAAGCCCAGAGCCATCGGCCAGAAGAAGTGTGGCACTCATTTGTCCTCTCCCCATGTTAGACAATTCTGTTCTAAGCACACTGATCAGGCTTATCTAATAAGAGCCTTAAATCTCGCTCCAGGCGAAAACGAGGCTCATAGACAGCCGGAAGCAGTGAGTAGGGTTGCAGGGCAGGACCATCGTACAGGTCTCCAGTGCAGTGTGCAGTCGCTGTGGCGACGTCGTTTTTCATTGACCAGCCTGTTCGGGCAACCACAGATCAGCAAGGAGCATGGAAAAAGGCTATGCAGCTTCTACAGTGCAATATCTACACTACATGTGCCATCCGGTGGAGACAATGCACTTGCTCTACCCCTTCTCGTGGACAGGTACCCATTCCACAACTTCGTGGCTCCATGGGCAGGAAACTTACAATGGCTGTGGCTGCAAATCTTGATCAGCAGTACGTGGTTCCTACAAGCATGCGCCATTGTATGCAGGTTCTTGCAGAAGCTCATATCTATGCCAAAGGCTCAACCGCAGAGTACCACAACTATCCATGACAACACATGTGTGGCGACCACAGGACGCAAGCACGACTCCGATTGCTGGGCCGGTCCCAAGTCCGGCCGTGTTCACGGTGGGTCAGCCTCTTACTTATTTCTATACATTGTGCTGACATGCATATATACCACAAGAGCAGTGAACACAGACGTGAGGGTTGACGTCTACCCCACTATGACGTCTGAAGCCACTTCGGCGAAGCCAGTGGGACAACGGGAGGTACAATCGAACACCTTAGGGTCGAGTATTCCCAGATGTGTAAAAAGAACTTATAAAAGAGCTTACGCCAGGTCCTGCAGAGAAGGCGGAGCATGGTACAGAGGACAGTGGCGGCCGCATGCATGGTTCACTCCAACCACCGTTCACACTAAGTCCCTGGGCAGGATACCTCAGCCAAAGCCGGCATCCCGGACGCTCACCACCATTACGTGGAATGCAGGTGGCTTACATGCTCAGGTATATCGTGAATTAGAAACGTGGATGCAGGACAAAGCAGTGGAGGTCATGTGCATCCAGGAGACAAAATGGGATTTCGATGGAACTTGGAGTACTCCATCATACCATTTTATACACTCGGCAGGACACAACAAAGAGGACAAGGTGGGAGGCGTCCTCACGGCCATCTCCACGAAGCTTGCAGCACACTCAGACATACAATTTCACCCGGTGTGCCCAGGACGTGTGTTACATGTTCGCATCAACAAGGGACCACCGACAGACATTATCAACGTCTATCAGTACACGGCGAACGACCACAAGTTGACTCCCGACCGCAGGCATAAACTATTGCAAAAACTTCAGAGCACTCTGAGAAGTGTGCCAACAAGGAATGCCATTATAATGGCAGGAGATTTCAACACAACATGTGTGCCAACCGAACAGGTCTGTGGCAAATGGATCATGCCGGCCAGCGAGGCTCACAACAAGGACCACACAGACTTGACGTCAATTCTGATTGCACACAAGCTCATAGTGTTGAATTCATGGACAAGGCCACATCACAATCAGCTGGCTACATTCACCTTCGGCACGCTAGCCTCTCAGAATGACTTTGTCATGTGCAGGCAGGCCAACGCCAACAACAAAGCCCGACAGGCAGCTGTGATTCCCCAATTCCCGGTTGCAGGATGGCGAGATGGAGCGAAGCACTACCCCGTCCTCGCTCAAATCCCTGTAAGACATCATCAATGGCAGCGACCCCAAACACCAGCTCAGCCCAAGCTGAACATCAATCAGATTATACAGGATGTCAGGCAACCTTGTGCTCCTGAAGCACTACAGCAACTTCGAGACAAGGTACACCAAGGTCTACAGGACGGTGAATGGGATGGCATACAGCAACTCGAGGAAGGCATCCAACGTATTGCGCAGGAACTTTATCCAGCAGCACGCCAACCTAACGTTCCGACGGAAGAGGCGCTGGCCTTATCCCAGAGTGCTCGTACTATGTGGGCTTTGTTCAGAACCATGCGAACGCATTCGTTCACAGTTCACGGTGTGGTTCAGGCTTGGAAACAATGGGCCAAATTTCAACAAGCACACAGGGAGCATAAAGCTCGGTCCAAACAACGAAGCAAATCCAGAAAACATGACCTCCTTACTCAGGCCCAGAAGGCGGCAGAACAAGGCGATATGCATCAGGTCTGGCAAGTGGTGAAAACACTTGCCCCCAAAAGCAAGCGCAAACCGCTGCAGTTGTACAGGAACGGACATATGATGACACCCGAGAGTGAGCTGGACTGGATCGTGGAAGCCTTTGGAGACCGCTACGGTGCCAGATCCCCACCAGTGCAGAACAACATCAGACAACAACAACCTATACGCATTGAGGTGGCAGATCTATGGCATGAGCTTGAGCGTCTCAATCTGAGAAAAGCAGTACCTTATGATGCTGCTCCCTCAGTCTTGTGGAAAGCATGTTCAGCTGAAGTGTCAGAGTTCGTTGTACACCATGTCAACAAACAGTGGGCTGAGCATACCATCATGGTACAACAATCATGGGCTGACGCGACTGTTGCATTACTCCCTAAACCTTCGGGGAAAAACGACACTCCTTTGGACTGGCGTCCTATCGGGGTTCAACACCCACTTGGAAAATGCTTCATGAGACTCATTATCAATCAAGCCAAACATCAAATACATCAATTGGTCAAAGAATGGCCACAAAGTGCTTACGTGCCCAATCGCAGTACTCACACAGCGCTGAAACGAGTACTACAACACTGCGATGACGTACGACGCAAATGCACGCACTACCGCACTAATCTCCACCAGAAGAAGGAGGGGGTCCCCACCACTCACCAATTTGGGGGACTTCAGATCAGCATGGACCTTTCAGCCGCATTCGACCTGGTGCCATGGACGGCCATCAAAGAAGCATTAGAATTGGCACAGGTGGAACCATCCATTCAAGAAATCTTGATGCAATGGCTGGGACAGGTGCGCTATAAGTTCAGACACAAAGGCATGGAGAAAGAAATATGGCCATCATGGGGATTGAGGCAGGGATGTATAGGTAGCCCTGTTTTATGGGCTGCCTTTACCGCATTACTCAACAGGGCAATAGACCATCGCATACAACAAGGCTGGTGCCGTGAACATGCTACAATGTACGCAGATGATTCTCACTTCAAATGGACATTCTACAACTTCCACGAATTCGAGAGAGCAATTGTCGAGCTGAGATGGGTGATCGCCATATTTCGTCGTCTGGGAATGAAAGTGAACACACACAAAACAAAAGCTATCATGAGCATCACTGGAGCTATGGAGCATCGTATCCACAAGCTGTACGTCAGACAACAAGGTGTGGACAAACATCTGTTACTCTCGCCAGGAGACCCCAGTACATGGATCAAGCTTGTGGATAAGACGGAATATCTTGGACTGATTATATCATATGACAATTTTGAAGGACAATCAGTCAAGCACAGGACTACGAAGGCGCATCAACGGAGATGGGCACTGGCCTCCATCTTACAAACCCGCAGAATGTCTATCAAATACAAGCTTCAATTGTGGAGAAGTTGCGTGCTATCGACCATGATGTATGCACTACATTGCCTTTGCCTAGGCCCAGGACATGTTCGAACCCTGCAACGCGCTATGATGAAACATGTCAGGGCCATTGTCTCAGACCAGGCCTTCCTCACAGGAGTGACACATGAAGAAATAATGCACAGGTACGGCATCCCCTCGGCCAAGGACCTCCTGAAAAAGGCACATCAGAGAGAATTACAAATAGATGCAGACGAAGATTGGATGATACATACAGGTTGGAACGAGAAGATCTCCGACTCGCTGCAGAATGTCATAGCGGAGGAGGAACCGATCTCAGACGCAGACAAGGAACATTGGATGTGCCCCATATGCTCAGCTCAATTCCCCAGTACAGCGGCTCTCAAAATCCATGCCAGGAAGACCCACAAGGTGGTGAACAAGCCGCAACACATCTTCGACAAAACCAAGCACTCACTACATGGACTACCGCAGTGCTCACAGTGTCTCAGAAAATTCTCCAAGTGGCAGACCCTTATCAACCACATCAACAATGACTCATGCCCGGCTCAGGTTGGCAAGTGGCAGACAGTCGACGAGACGGATGAGGCTATAAACTTAGCCAACGTATCTGCTACGAGCCAAGCCTACAGCCCACATGACAGACAACATGAAGGACCACCTCAGCCTGGTTCAGCACAGCCTGTATCAGACCCTGGAGATCAGCAGCTGGTTGTGGAAAAACAATCTCCACGGCATGTGCTAGTGCAGCAGCGACACGTACAACGGACGATCAGTGCAGGCCTCAATGCTTTCATTCATGAACATGACATCACCTCGCAACTACAGCAGTACTGTGCACTTTGTGGACAGTGGATTGCGTCGCAGAAAGTGATGAAACGACATTATCAGCATTCCCACTCCAACCTCTACCAACAATTCTACAAACGCACACAACGACTCATTGAACAAAAAGCCACGCCGAGCATCCCGTGCCACTTTTGCAGACGCAAGACCCGAGACTGGAAGGCGCACTTCCAGAAATGTACGGTCTTATGGCAATGCTCGTTTATGTGTGCAATGCATGAGGCGGATGGCGAACTTCGATGCAGAGATGGACGAATTCTTCGGTCCGGTGAAGGACGAGGGGACACCAAACGAGAATCAGGACCCGAACAAGATCTCTCCATTCGCACTTTCTTTCGGGCCCAACAAAAGGCGCAGAAATCCGTTCGAGGAGCGGACCCACCACCCTGTACACCCCACGGCACACCACAGGGGCACTCGGGATCCTCTTGTGTTCAACCTGGCCAAGACAGTGATCAAGCAGCAAGAAGAACTACGTGTCTTGAGACAAGACACGGCCCTGATTTTATTCTTCATGCCGGGACGGGATACGGTGCTGAACCACCTTTACACCACGGCCTTTCGATTCAAGGCCAAACAAGCCGAAGAGCCAACATGGACGCTGGGTCAGCAACCCATGCGTATGGTATTAGCCATGGCCTTGTTCAAGGAGTTAGTGGACCGGCTCAACAGCACAATCTCATCACAAGAGAAACTCAAGAGAGTAACGGATCAGGGGTGGCGAGACTCAACGGGATGGCGGTACCAGGTGTGGAACAGAAGCACCAAGCAGCTGGAAGCAGATCCCCAAAGGGCCCCAATCCCGGACGACAAGTTGCTGGATCATCTGGCAACAGTGCTCCAATGCTTGAAACACCCAATATTGACCAGGTTCGCATGCACGAGGAGGATGGCCGAGACTATGACGTCCCAAGCCACCTTCAAAATGGATGTGGCTCTCAGAAGTCACAGCGCATTGACATTCTGGGACGAGATGCAAGTCCTTCGGGGAAACTCAGTGTTTCAGCTGGTGGGGATGGGGTACAAAACCGAGAGCTTGGGCAGGGGCCCAGCAGAGCAAAAGCTCCTGGACATGATGTACGGGCGCAAATGAATATCAAGCAAGCACCTCAGCTTATGCTTCGCAATGACAGCTCCATATGCTATATGAACTCCACCTTTCAGGCGATCACATGGCTGTTGGAGCTCATACCAAACTCACTGCTCTCGGTGCATGGGTTGGGTGCGGACCTCTTTCATCAAGCCCTTAATGGAAACTTACGATCAACAGTTCATCTTACTAAGGATGCAGGATGGTTGGCCATGCTTGCAAACTGGGGAGAGGTGCACATTCAACATGACGTTTGTGAGTTCATCCAGTACCTCGCCAACCAAATTGAACTGCCCATGTTGGCAGGCACATGGCAGGCTAGATCGCCGGCCATGGCAATGGGGGAACGTCCATTGGACCAGGGGCCTTGTACTCAGCCGTTGGTGCTACATCTACCATCCAAGATGAAAGCTGGAGCATACATCAGGATACAAACCATGGTAGACGAATGGCATCGCTGTGTGGACAGACTTCATGGTCTACATGTCATCCCCTCGGTGATCATGTTGCAGATTCACAGATTTCATCGAAAGCAAGGCCGTATACATAAAAGTCATGCCAAGGTACAGATGGATAGAACTATCCGACTGCCGGTTTTTGAAGGAGAGGGGCATCATCATGTGTCTCAACACTTTCAACTGGCGGCATTTATCGAACATCATGGACAATTTCCGACATCAGGACATTACACCACGACTCTGATCCAGGATCAATGCTGCTGGCTCTGTAATGATGGGCGGGCCGCCACTGCTCAGTCGGAGATTCAGCTCGCACAATGCAAAGCCTGCTACATCCTTTTCTACATAAATGCTAGCTCCGTCGCAGCTGCAGGCTGCTAACACTGGGACGGTACATATGCTTTCAGGCTCTTCGGAGCGGTGTGTGCTGTAACTCGACCTTTTCTTGGAGACGGCAAAATGCCGTGAGTGCAAACTCCGGGTATTGAATACCTGCTCAATCCCGACGCCAGGCGACAGACTTCTGCGCTGCGAGGAATGCTCAATGCTACTACTACTACTACTACTACTACTACTCCTACTACTACTACTACTACTACTACTACTACTACTACGACGATGCCAACGACAACAGCAGCAGCACCACCACCAACAACAACACCACCAACCACAACAGTCA